TTGTAGGTGGGGGGAGTGAATGTACAGCACTCTCTCCCACCTTCAATACCATGACTGAGGTGTCCTTGAGCAAGGCACCGAACCCCCAACTGCTCCCCGGGTGCCGCAGCATAAATGGCTGCCCACTGCTCCGGGTGTGTGTTCACGGTTTGTGTGTGTTCACTGCTGTGTGTGTGTGCACTTTGGATGGGTAAATGCAGAGCACTAATTATACTCTAATACATAGAGTATGGGTCACCATACTTGGCCACATGTCACGTCACGTCACTAAAGGAACACAGCTTATGAAAGGAGCATGTTTTAATTAAGTTGTTATTTTTTAATACATTTTTTTACTGCAGTGAAAAAGAAAATGGAAGTCAGAAGCATGCAGATCATATTTATTTTGCGTTAGCATGAAGCTGCAGTTTCACAATACATGAATTACACTTACGAGTAACAGTAAAATGCTGCAAATAATTTTTTCTTGCGCTTGAAACACGATTTACACCTTCACAAAGCTTCTCTTGCGCATGCAAATTTAATTGACGCTTACAGTCTTATGTACACTTCCACAACTCTTACCCTGCGTATGCAAATCTTTCTACCTTCATAATAATTACATTTTAAATAGGGTAACTTGTGATCTGTAAGCTATTACATTTTCAAAGCACTGCTATTTCCTAACACAAATTTTGATGTGTTGACTAACATAATACAGCACATAAGTTTATTTCATATTAGTTTATTTAGAAAATATTTAAACTAGTGCTGTCAAACGATTAACCGCGATTAATCGCATCCGAAATAAGTTTTTTTTTTACATAATATATGTGTGTATTGTGTATATTTATTATGTATATATAATACACACACATCCATGTATATATTTAAGAAAAATGTTATGTTTATACATTTAATATTAATATATAATATCAGTTATATTAATATAAATATATACATGGAAATATTTTCAAAATATATACTGTTTGTGTGTATTTATATATACATAATAAATATACACAGTACACACACATATATATTATGTAAACAAAAACTTTTATTTTGGATGCGATTAATCATTTGACAGCCCTAATTTAAACGCATAAGCATATTTCAAAAAGGTACTTGCAGATAATGTTAAGAAGTATACATTAAATCTGAAATGATATTAAATACAAAATATTTAAGGTTTTAATATAGTTAATTTATTTTAAATGTATTCAATTGCAGCTTCATTATTATTATAACATACACACACACACTACTATTCAAATTTTGGTGTAAGAAAGATATATATATTTATATCCCTTTTTTAACACCAAAATTTGAATAGTAGTGTAGTATGGTATCAAGAAAAATACTGAGCAGCAAAAACTGATTTCAACATTGATAATAATAAGAATTAATAATTTTTCCTGAGCCCCAAATCACCATATTAGAATTATTTCGGAAGGAGCATGTCACACTGAAACTGGATCAATGGCTGTTGAAAATGCAGCTTTGCCATCACAGAAATAAATGACATTTTAAAATATATTCAAATAGAAAAGTTTTTTTTTTTAAATTGTAATATTTTACTGGATTTTTCATTAAATAAATGCAGCCAAAACCTGAAAGTTAGATGTTTTTTTTTATGCAGCCATGCATCGAGCTTTTCAGATGGACCTGACCAGGCTGCGTCTCACTGCAGCACGGGCCTATGTCAAAGCTCTGGAGTCCAGCCTCACGCCCATGTCGGCGAGTCTGACCGAGCCGCTCAAGATGAATGCTGTGGTGAGTTGAGCAATTCTGAATGTGCTAACAAAATGACACCGGAAGGCCGATACCAATCTCAGCTTCTGCTTCCTGTTTCTGCAAAGGTTCAAGGGTTGGGCCCATCCTTCAAGCTCACGCTGAACATCCAGAACACTGCAGCGTGCCGTCCGGTCATGAACCTAGCCATCAGTTTTCTGTACGATGAAAATTTGTATAGCATGAGGACGGCCTTTTTCAAGGTGACCTCAGCTGAGCGGTTTCATGAGCATTATTCCTTCTCTATATAAGCAGATTTTTTTTTAAAATGTGTAGTTATTGAAGCTGGGAAAATACTTAACAGGTAACAGTGAATTGTTTTGTCTTTAGATCCCCCTACTAGTTCCAGGGCTGAATTACCCCATTGACACTTTTGTGGAGTGCTTGAGTGACAAAGGCATCTCTGACATCATCAAAGTGAGACTTTCACCCATTCAGAACATCCATGCAGCATTTATATTCAGAATAGCTAGTATGTGTACTATGAAAAATATGCAAATAGAAAACCCGGATGAATTATATATACAATATATTAATTATATTACAAACCCAATTCCAAAAAAGTTGGGACACTGTACAAATTGTGAATAAAAACAATGCAATGTGGAAGTTTCAAATTTCAATATTTTTATTCAGAATACAACATAATGACATATCAAATGTTTAAACCGAGAAAATGTATCATTTTAAGGGAAAAATAAGTTGATTTTAAATTTCATGGCATCAACACATCTCAAAAAAGTTGGGACAAGGCCATGTTTACCACTGTGTGGCATCCCCTCCTCTTTTTATAACAGCACGCAGACCACTATATACCAAAATTGTCCCAAAATGTTTAGACAAAATAGAATTAACCATTTTTATTTACAGAATGATAACTAGACACTGCTCCCATGCATATTATGAAATCAAGCAGCTGTTTGATGTTACGTTTCTGATTTCAGGTGTTTGTGCTAAGGGAAGGAAAGAGTGCTCCTCTCCTCACCGCCCACATCAACATGCCTGTGAGTGAAGGACTCGCACTGAACTGAGAGCGAATTAGAAACGTCTAGCTGAGCTTCACAGGCGTCTTCAACTCTTGCTGTGCTCCTAGCAGCAGTTAGGCTTCTCCACAGAGCTGCCTGGAACGGAGAGCTTTCCATCACATGAGTTACAAGAAGTTTGCGCTGGCCATCGAGCCGGTGTTTCCTGTAGCTTAGATCAGGACTGAGGGAGGCGTGTCCTCACAGGTAATACCTCTGTACCTTTTAATGGCTAGTCACTGGAGCGTTTGATTGACAGCTGCGAGGCCTAGAGTTCCATAGGTCATATAGTTTGGATGTAAGAGACGTTCCTGATGTTTACTTGTGGTAGTCATGTATATTTATATGTAAAAGCATATTTATTCTTGATGTAATGATCACACACTTTATAATGCAATTTTGAGGCTTTATTTTAATATATATTGAGAATCATTGCATAAACAGTCTGTTTAAGGCAATGTGGTAAGAAAAAGATTATTCACTACTTTTAAAGCACACACACACACGAAAGTAAACAAGGTATAATGAGAGAATGGTCAGTTCATTCTCTCTCTATTTCACAGTACTTTTCTACACTACAGTGACGTACGTTCAACTCTTCTTACGCTCATTTTTTTTTTTTGTCAAAATACTGTTTGCATGCATGTAAACTTTATATACACTACCATTCAAAAGTTTGGGGTCAGAAGGATGTTTTTAGTGTTTTTTATGCTCATCAAGACTGCATTTATTTGATAAAAAATACAGTAAAAACAGTAATATTCTGAAATAATATTACAATTTAAAAGAACTGCTTTCTTTTTAAAAATGTAATGTATTCCTGTGATGGCAAAGCTGAATTTACAGCAGCCATTAGAAATCACTTATATGCTGATTTGGTGCTCGTATTTTTATCAGTGTTGAAAACATTTTGCAGTATTCTTTGAAGAATGTAACGTTTAAAAGAACAGCATTTATTTGAAATTATTACTGTCACTTTTGATCGGTTTAGGCATCCTTACTAAATATAGAAGTATTAACTTATTTAAAAAAAAATCTTTCTGACCCCAAACGTTTGAATTGTAGTGTAAACAAACACTGCTTTTTCTGAGTATATTCTGTTGGCAGTTTCATCTCAATGTTTGCTTTCCTTTCCTTTCTTACTGAATGAAAACTGCATCCATCATGTCATGATAGTATGAGTTCCTTATTGTCAGTCATTTACCCACTTCATGAATACTACTGAGGTTACAGGAGGCATGTAGTAAAGAAGAGGAAGTAAGGACAGAGGAAGCACTGAGGAAGAGGAACATCCATCTAAGTAAACATAGTGAGGGTGATCCACTAAGAAGAAAGGAAGAAAACAAGATGTTGCAAACATATTACTGGACCACAGAGAGACAAGAAAGCATTTGCTATTGAAATTTCTAATTGCTAATGAGCAGTTAAGACCAACCTGGGTGAAGCTGAAGGATACCAATCCATTTTCATCAGCGTCCATTGTTTTAAAAGTTTCTGTTGGAATAAAAAGTGAACTCTTAACACATCTAGTCCTATCTTACAAATCATTTGTCTTAATGCTACACTGAATTTCTGAGGGGTTTTGGTGTTTTCTACTTGGCACACTTACTGAACATAGTCTCCAGGCGGATCAGACAGGACACAAAGCTGTCAAAGTCCACGTTGAGGTCTGGCTTTGCGTAGCGTAGGATTATCAACTGGAACAAATTGTTGGTCAACTTGAAGCCTTACAGAAGGTATAAATTCAAAAAGTCTGCATAAACATAATATACCACAGTAATTATTGATGTTGTGCTATTTAAGGAGCAGATACCTGCTGATTCTAGCGCCAGACGCATTTCATAAGAGCTCATTGTGCCGGACTTGTCCAAGTCAAACTTCCTAAACACCGCCTAGCGATTTTTTTGAAGGAAAAAAAAAACCCCATCAACATTTGTACTAACATTAAAAAGTTTGCAGTCAGTAAGATTTTTAATATTTTGGAAACAAGTTTCTTATGCTCATCATGGCTGTATTTATTTGATAAAAAATACAATAAAAAGAGCAATGGTGTGAAATATTATTACAATTTCAAATAAATGTTTTCTATTTTAATATATTTTAAAATGTAATTTATTCCAGTAATGCAATGCTGAATTTTCAGCAGTCATTCAGGGTCACATGATCCTTCAGAAATCATTCTAATATGCTGATTTGCTGCTCAAGAAACATTTCTTATAATTGTAAGAATTACAGAACCTCAGACAACTATTCAATCTTCTGAGACGGACAATACACACATATGGCCCTGTCCCAAATGGCACCCTAAACCCTCGCGGTCTTCCTCTGAGTCCGCACTTTCGTGACGTAATGCCGCTTTGACTGTCGGGTAGAAGTCTGCTGCGGAGCTCGCCCCAGTGCGGGCTTGGCAAAAGTGCGGCTCGAGGGTGCATAGCGGCCGCGAGCACCCTTTTGAACCTAAAATGACGAATGGGACACCCTACGGCAGGGTTCCTCAAATCTTGCCCTGGAGGGCCAATACGCTGCAGAATTTAGCTCCAACCCTGATCAAAGTCACCAACCTGTGATTTTCTAATGATCCCGAAGACATTGATCAGCATGCTCAGGTGTGTTTGATTTGGGTTAGAGCTAAACTGCAGGAAAGTGGATCTCGTGGGCCAGATTTGAGGATCCCTGCCCTACGGTCTTCAGTGTTGCCAAGTCCGAGGTTTTCCCGTGGAATTGGGCTACTTTAACTCTGTTGGCGCTGGTGGTTTTTCATGTCCACGGGTTTAAGCGACCCCAGTAACGTGATATTTAGCCCCTAAAATGACAATTTTACCAGGGGAACCCCACCAAAAACAAGTATTTTACCCCACCAGAATGCTATTTTTACCAGGGGATCCCCCTCGAAATGCCATTGGGCTAGTTTTTTGTTGTGAAAACCTGGCAACCCTGGGTCTCGTGGATGTAACGGACACACGCGGCGGCCATTGTAAGTCCACAAGACCGAAAGTGCACATGAAGAGAAGTGTTCCATTTGGGACAGGGCCATAGTGTATTCAAATACGGTGACCGTGATTTCACCAAGTACAACATGTTCCTGGATCAACATCCTTTTTGATCCTGGAACAACATTCCAATTAACCATTAACCAATCAGAATTAAGGGATAACTTTTCAGGAAATGTCTGTTTTAGGCTTACAATCAGAGTTTGGTGCTTCTACACCCTTGTTAATCAGCTATCATTTCACACTGATTTTAGGAATAAATTATGGGTAAGGATTGGGTTTAGCCAAAATTTTTGGACAGTAATATTGATCCAGGATCAATACAAATTCAAATTGTTAGTTCCTTTCTCCATTTCGGGGGATTTTTGTCTTGGTCTCAAGTACTTAAGGAAATCTTGCAAGAAGATCGGGGCGATTCTGTAGCCAGAAAGCTTGTGTGGTGTGTGTCTCTACACTCCATACTATGTATTTTCTAAGGTCAGGTATGCATCTTTTTCTCTTAGATTTCTCTTTGAGAATTTGATGTTTTGTATTGATATGATTTGATATCTTT